GTGCTACTCTGTCACAGTGGCTCGCTATGAGTCGGAATCAGCACCTAACAACAACACTGGCTAATGTTGAACATCTTTTCCTTGTGCTTATTCGATCCACGTATCTTCATTGGTGAAGTATCTCTTCCTGTTTTTTTTTGGGGGGGGGCCTGTTTTCTAACTTTGTTGCTTTATTTTCTTACTGTCTAGTTTAGAAAGTTCTTTATATGTGCTACATACGAGTCCATGGGCTCAAGCGTCTTCAGGACAGAGACTTTGACTTCGGCGCAAGCAGGGGCACCACAGAGAAGAGATTCAGCTCCTAGAGAGGCTCGGCGGCAACCTGATGACGAATTTCCGGCCGCGCCGTGAAGCTGACGGCTGCGGCGGTAAGCGCGGAGCTACGGCTTTAGTGGGCGGTGACCTGATCCCAAGGTACTTGGTGTGTTTGGGACGTAGCTCCGGCCTGAGGTAACTGTGTTTCTTGCTGCCAGGTGGTCAAGCCTGAGGGAGGGAGCCAGGTGGCGGTCCGGGGTCCGCTTAGCCCCTCCTTGTCTCTGGCTTTGCACATGAAGGCCTAATACGTTCCTTCTTGTGGAAGACGAAGCCTGCGTTACCGTCACAGCCACAAGGCCCCGAGGATTTAGCACTTGATCTGATCAGGGAAGATGTGCCAGTGCAGCCAGAGGGCGGAATGTTTACATTCGTGAAGTCCGAGGTAACATCCTGTGCCACGCTGAGGTCCTGCAGGGCCTTTTACCCACTCATTGCCAGTTCGGGGAGTGTGCTCCCTGGCTCCTGCCTTAGGGTTGTGAATCAGGGCCCAGACTGAGCGCAGAAAAAGCAGAGCCCCTCCCAGCCACTTGGGAGCAGATGCAGCTTGGCTTTGGAAGGCCTTGTCTCCTGGAGCAGTGTCAGCTCCAAAAGGTAACTTTACCTTGCTTCTCTGGCTGTGGGGTGACTGGCCTGGAAATGATTTGGCCTTTCAACAGGCCATTCCCGGAGGAGAGTGTAACACTCTCCTGAGCGTGTCCAACCTCTGAACGTTTTATAACAGGTACAGGACGGAGGCCACGCCAGCAGGTTGTGCGTCTGGGAAAGTTTTGGTTAGTTTCATTGGTCCCTTTACTTACTTTTCTGAAACTGCCTCACACTCACACTTCCTTTATCCTTCACTTGCAAGATCTGCTGTTAGCCGCAGGTAGTTAAGGCAATCCTGTATCAAGTATTTCCCTGCAGAAGGTGTCTAAATCTATTTTAATCCCTGCCTCTGCCTCAGAATTAGTGGGATCTTCGGTCCCCTTGGCCTTAGGATTTTATTTTATTTTATTTTTTCTGTCTCCTCAGGATGGTTATCTATTATCCTGTCTCATTTATAACTGCCTTGTTCTTGCTCCGTTCACAGAAAAGCTGCTGAGGTTTTGTAAAGATGCCAGGGTTTCAAACCAGTTTGTTCAGGTTAACCCCCCTGCCCCTGCTGAGAATTTTTTTTTTTTCCTACCCCAGATGTACTGAATCACAATCTACATTTTAACAAGATAAATACATAATATCACTTGGGGGGGCTTGTTAAAGTATAGATTCTGATTCAGTGTATCTAGGGTGGAAATGCAAATTCTCAGCAGGGGGCTGAACTGGAAAGAACCTGTTTGAAGCCCTGATTGCCTTTCACTGGATCCTTTCTCTAAATTTGTGTACTCTTTGCCTTTTTTTATGTATACTAATAAAAGTTCCAGGAACCTATTCTAAGCAAACCTTTCTAGATGGCTGTCTCCTTTTCAACTCCACCAAGGTGTTTGAAAGCATAGCTAAGGAGCATAACCATGTCTCCACAGAGTCATTAGGACCTCGCGGACACCCAGAGCTTTGTCTGGGAGGGGGACAGGATGGGAGGGAGCTGCCCCTCCTCCAGAGAATGCCTCCCTGCAGCCTCTGTGCTGGGCTGTGACTGTGGGCAGCAGCTGCTGACTCCACAGCCTCTGTGCTAGGCCACAGCCCAGCCAGCCCAGCTGCCTTAGCAGTGTAACTAAAGATGATGCTAGTTTAGAAAGTGAAGTTAGTTAGAGATACTGGTAATACTCTCTCAAGCTGAGTGGTGAATACATGAGTCTTTGTTTTATTACTCTTTAGGTTCTGCATACGTTTCATATATACTCTTGTGTATGTATGGTATGTGTTAGAATCGTAAAATCCTAGGCTTCCTGGCAGGGAGCATCAGTGTCAGTGTTAGGGGCTGAGCCTGTGCAGAGATCACTGCCTTGTTCCTGTGGTAGCACTGCTCTCACTGCTATTTGAATGTGCACCACCTGCATCTGAGAGATCTGTGAGGAGCTCTATTGTCACAGACACTTTGGGGGTGGCTTGCCTCACATGTGTCTCTTTTTTCCTCAGCTGCAACCCTTCTCTGAGAGGGAAGCCAGGTGGTGACAGCCATGCTCCTGACAGCCTGGCCCCAGGTGAGCTGTGAGTCCTGCAGCTCTTTCTCTAGGCAGCTCCACATGGAGGAAAATGGAGAAGGGGAGCTTGTGAACCTCAGGATGAAAGCTGCAGGTGGCTTCCATGCTTCAGCTTATAGGGACTGGAGGCTGTGCAAAGAGAGGTGCTGTGCAGGGATGGGCACAGAGACCCCAGACCTGACATGGAGGCCACAGGAGAGTGTCAGGAAGCACACCCTGCTAAGGCAGGAGCTCTTCCAACAGAGGGATCTGGGTGAGGGGGTGCTGAAGCTGTCCATGTAGGATTTCTGTGTATGGATATGAGTGGAGGAGACTAGCAGAGGGTTGGGACTCCGTGATGGACATGTGGGTGAGTGTTGATAGCAGACACAGATCATTGTAAAGCTTGGCCCCTAAGTTGGGGCAGGAAGGGAAGAGCATGGGGAGTGGGGTCAAGCGGGGGAAAGGAAGGGAAGTCCTGTGGGACAGAATGTCTCACTGTATCCTTGAGAGGCTTTCAGGGATGGGGCTGCAGACCTCAGTCTTTAAGTCTCTGATAAGAGTGCTGGACCCTCTCCTCAGAAAAAAATAAACATGCAAACCATGTTTTCCATGCAATTTCAGGGACTTCATGGACCCCCTGAAGCTCATCCATGGACCTCCATGGACTACAGGTTGGGAATAATCAATAGTAACAGTACCACCAGTAACATCATTTGAGGCTTGGTGTGTTGCGGGCACTGTACTAAGCATTTGCATGGAGTATTAAGTCCTGACAACTGCCCTCTGAGATAGTTGCTATATGTTGTGTTCATTCTGCCAGTAAAGAAACGGAAGCAAAGGGGAGCTGAGCAACTTGCTGCAGCTCACACAGTTACTGTGTGATTCTTAACCACTCAGCCAATGATGTTAACTTGGATTTGTGATGGCTGTGTAGGACTGAATTTTAAGAGGAGGCTCAAAGGCAAGTGACCACTTCAGAAAGTATTCCACTGGTCAAGGTGATGCAGGCTTCATCAAAGGAAGTAGCTATTAAAGGGGAGGGGTCAGCCTCAAGCAGTGTTTATGACTTAAAGGTCTTTAGGAGGCAGAGAGACTGTTGGAGGTGGGGGCAGGGAGGTGGAGGGGTCGAGAACAGTTCCCAGATGCTGGTGATAGCAGGTGAGGTCTGAGTTTTGGAGGAGGAGCCAGTTTAACTAGGGAAAGGGTGGTGGCAGCAGGGTGCAGTGAAAGTATTTAATTTTGTGCAGAGAAGTTCCATGACCTTCACAAAAAAGATAGATTCTTTGATGGTTACTAGGGGTGGGGGGAACAGGAGGGCAAACCATTAACTAGAGGGTAGACACATAATACCTTGGGTGAAGGGAAGGCAAGCATACAGTGAGTGAGAGCTCATCAAAAAATGATCAAGGCAAAGGAAGACATTGGGAGGAGGACAAGAATTAAAGGCAACAGAGGGAAATATGTATATTTTTTAAAAAATTACATGATCTATCCAAGATCACATAGAAACACTTAGAAACCACCAGAAGTTTGACTGGAATTGTTTATGGGTGAAGGTCAGTAGACTGGAGCAAGGAAATCCCTGCGGACAAGCCCCCAGGGTTGTTACTAAAGGCTGAGGTGGCAGAGGGAGAACTAGCCAGAGGTAGGAGCTGCCTAAGAGAGGGAGTTGGGTCTGGGCAGAGCCCACAGTTTCAGTCCTGTGCTGACCATGTGATGCAAAGAGGAGAAGCCGAAGTGGGGCAGAGTAGCCAGCCAATAGGAAGGCTGATCTCCCTTCTTCCCAAGCCTGGGGAGAAGTGATAAAATGTTGGAAGAGGCTGGAAAGGATGAGGCTTGAGTGGGAGGAAGTCACAGAAGATGCTAGCTTTTCAGGGAGCTCCACTGGGAGGCAGACTGGGCTGCTCCAGGCAGCATGCATGTCCTCTGTTGGAGGTACTCGAGTGGAGGCTGCCCAGCTCCTTGTGGGGGGTCTGACGGGAATCAGGCAGCAGGTGGGGACTGGAGGAGATGGAGGCCATGACTGTTTTTTGGGGGTTGGTGAGGCTTGAGGATGAGGGTGAGGTGTGGGGAAGAAAAACAGCTTGGGTGAGGCATTGGGGCGGGGGGGCAGGCTGAAGAGGCCAAGCCTCAAGGGGATGAGAGGAAGTGCTAATGGATCTGTCCTGTGCCCTGACTACAGCGAGGGATCAGGCAGTTGAAGTACCCTATCTAAAATAATGGAGTGGCTTTAGGAGAATTTGGTTGTGTCAAAAAAGATTTTTTTAAATCTCAACTTACAAGTGTAAAAAATGGTATGTGGCTTTTCTGCTGAAATGGAAGTTGCATATTCTGTGGTTTACTTCCCAGGTGCTCTTCCTCAATTCTTTCCCATTATTCATGTCATGCTTTTCAAAGCTCCCTCCCCAGGCCCTTATACTGCCTTCTGCCCCTCACTTAGGGCCTGAGCCATGAAATTGGCCCTAGGGCAGCAGGAACCTATTGTTTCAGAAGTTGGTGACCTTTGAGGACGTGGCTGTGTACTTCACGCAGACGGAATGGGACAGCCTGTCCCCTACACAGAGGGCCCTGTACAGGGACGTCATGCTGGAAAATTACGAGCATGTGGCCTCTCTGGGTAAGGCCTCCCTCCCCGTGGGGCCCAGATTCTGCCATTTAGGGTTTCCTTTTTCCTTCCCCCTTATAGGTTATTGGTAATTCTTCACTGAGTGGGAGCCCCAAGGGTAAAGATTCTCAGATCTCTAGACTCAAAGGAAGAGTGAACCCCAGGTCCTCTTTGGGCCAGTATTGGACTTTGCTGGGACTAGTGTACACTTTTACTCTACTCTGTAGAAGCTGTGGGAGCTCTGGTAGCGTAGTGCCTAAGGCATTTGACTGCTAAGCAGAAGGCTGTTGGTTCAAACCCACCAGCCACTCCTCAGAAGAAAGATGGGGCAATCTACTTCCGTAGTGATACTGCCTTGGAAATCCAAGGAGGGGTCATTATGAGTCAGGTCTGACTCGACAACACATAACAACGACAACATAAAAGCTGTGTTTTGGACACAGTGTAGACAAAAGGGACTTCCTGTTCCCATAGTCATGTCTTCTAGTTTCCTCTCACTGTACCAAATCTTTCTAAGGATCTTAATGTACCCTAAGAATTTTTCAGGCCATGGTCACAAAGTGGTATCCCTTTGAGCAGAATTTCCGTGTTTTTCCCTTGTGAGGTCTAGAGGACCACAGTCTGGATCTTGCCAGTCCTTCACCTTCCTGAGACCATTCCTGCTTCTCCAAGACACCTTCCTCCATCTTCCCATAGTCCTCATGCATGGGACGTCTTGGGCTTTTACCTTCCCTCCCCATTGCTGAGACAATCTGAGAAGAGGCTTAGGAGCTCATCTATGGGAGATTATTAGCCTGTCCCTTTTGTTTTTTTCCTCTTAAACAGGATTTCCACTTCTCAAACCTGCTGTGATCTCACAACTGGAGGAAAGAGGAGTGCTGTGGGGCCCACGTCCAGTGCCCACTGGAATGGGAACAGGCCCTCAAGTCCTCTGGACTGGTAAGCAACACAGACTGCCAATTATGTTGGAAAGTTTAGCTCGTCAGGAAGAAAGCCAGCTTGAGCAATGTGCAAGCATGCCCTATTTATCTACCAGCCAGAGTACAATTTGAGAAAGTTTTGAGGACTTACAGAGATAGGCATGCTTGAGACCTTTCTTTTAAATGCTGTTTTTGCACTTTGTTTCTTTCTAATCCCAAGAACAGATCATTTTTCAGATGCCTCATTCTAACTCTTTTAGTCTTAATTTTGGAATCTCACCTTTTCTTAGACAGTACAGTAGGCTCAGTAATTTTTAGGGTCCTTGCTGTTTTCTAAGTATTGTCCATTTAATGTGAAGGATACAGAATTAACCGCCTTCACATACAGAGAGGCAGCATAGCCTGGTGGTTAAAAGTCCAGTCTTTGGAGCAGACTTGCCTGAATTCAGATCCAGCTGTGCCACTTCCAAGTTGTGAGACACTGTTCGAGTTCCAACCAAAGACTTGATGTCCTCATCTCTGAAAATCCAATAATAATAAAATGAGGTGATAGTACTATCTTGTGGGTAGAGGATTAAATGAGATAACATACCAAGGACCTACATTATAGTGTGTGCACAACTAAGTATTTTATCATTATTCTGGGAGAGGACAACTATACATAGTTAAGTAAGGTAGAAGGGAGGAAGTCCTCTAGTTTGGTGCTTCGTAAACACTGACGTGCACATGGATTACTTGGGGTTACTGTACATATGCAGATTGTGATTCAGTAAGTCTTGGGTGTAGCCAAGAGTCTGCATTTCTAATAAGTTCCTAGGTGATACCGGTGCTTCAGGTTCTTGACCATACTTGAGCAGCAAGGTTCTAACTGGTCTAGGCAGAGTAGCTCCCAGATAATTTCCCATTTCCCATGATGCCCAGCTTGCCTTCTGGCCAGTGGCGTCCATGAGACACTCTTACATCTTTTCAGTTTTTCTTTTTTCATACAGATAGTTGCAGTGGATTTTTGTTCCTTTCTGACCATTTAACCATGTGATCCCTGACCAAGGAAGGCATATTTTGAAAAGAGGGCTTAAAGGAAGTATAACGTACCTGACAGGTAGAGGGGGAAATGCAAATGCAGTATGGTGTAGGTCCTTGACCACAGGAGGATGGATTCACCCTGTCGGCAGCAGACAGTCCTGAAGTCTTTCCAGAGTGTTTGACCAGCCCATCATGATCCCAGCTGAGGACAGAAGAATTAATTTGTGTAGGTTAACTAGGGTGAGGAACTGAACTGGGTTCTAGGCAAGCGGAAGGGGAAGGGCAAAGGACAAGAGGCCCATGTCTGCAAAATCACCTTTTTAAAAGCTTTCCCTAAATCTTGACCCAGTGACTTCTGTTTAAATTTTAGTTGCTGAAACTGTGTCAGATGGCCGTGTCCACTACAAGAGAGGATAGGGACTATACCTAGCTGGGCATATGCAATCTGTAAGGGGAAAAAAAGTGCCAGTGAGGAGGAAGAGGAGAATGGATATTGGGTAAGCAACCAGAAGCATTTGCCACACCATAGGATTTGGTAAATAGAAGGTCACTAAGATAGAAAATCCTATCCTAGGATAGAAAAAAGGAGCTGTGGTGGCACAGTGTTTAAAGCATTCAGCTGCTAACCAAAAGGTCAGTGGTTCAAACCCACCAGGTGCTCTGCAGGAGATAGATGAGGCAATCTGCTGTAAAGATTTATAGCCTTGGAAACCCTACGTAGCAGTTCTACTTTGTCACATATGGTCACTATGAGTTGGAATCAACTCAGTGACATGTGTTTGGTTTGGTTTTTGGAGGATAGAAAAATTGGCAAAAAATATAACCTGTTGATCCATATAAGAAGTACATATTCTAATCATTGTGACTGAGGAGGAGATACATCAGAAGATTAGCTGCAGTTATCCTCAGGTGGTTGTACTCAAGGTAATTTTGATTTTCTTTCTTGTAATTTTCTGATATTACAAATGAGTATGTATTGACTTAAATCTAGAAAAGTCTCATCATTTTGAAAATGCTTGCTCGGGAAATCCAGGTCACTTGGATCTCCTGAGGGCGATTACAATGAAATACTGGTACAGGGAGCATATTACACATGGTTAAGGAGAGAATGAGAGACAGAAATATAGAGGCAGCATGTTTGAGCACACTTTTAAGAAAATTGGGAGTAGATGCACAGATCAGTAGCTCTAAAAACTGCTGAGGTTATGAAGAGAATTTTATGGAATGATCACTTTTAGGATTTGAGGGGGAGAGAGAGAGGGAGAAAGAAGGCAGGAGTGTTCTGAGAAAGATGGGAAGATACGAGAATGAAATGTCATGGAGACCTTAGACCCCATTCTGAAGTAAAGGTAAGGGAGAAATTTTGGGAAGTCTGGAGTTTAAGTTCTAAGGAAAGAAACAAAATTATTTCCTTTTTGCTTCCTGGTGCTGCTGACACTTGCCATTCTCCTTAAGCATTTTCCATTTTTATTAACAAGAGACTCAAGTATATAGGGACAACTGAGAAGAAACTGCAGGGTGAAGAAAAGCATGGTATGAGGGAAAGAACACCTGGTGGACAAGACCAGGAGTTTTGTTCCACTGCTGTCCTTTAACCTTCACGTTACTGGTTTTGTCCTTTACAGAGGTCTTGCCTTAGGTCATGAGAGACTGGTGATCTTTTAAATCATTACTTTGAGAATTATAACACTGACATATCCTCAGAGTACAAAAAGTGTACTAAGTGGAAAAAAGACTATTATGCATCCTTGCCAGTTGACCCAGTCTCTTGTGTATTCTTCCAGAAGTTTTCTAGGCTTTTCTTTTTCATTTATGTAAATGGGGTCTATTTTACATACTGTTTCTCAACTTGTTTTTCCACTTAACAGTGTATCTTGGGCATTTTGTGTGTATATGTGTGTCAGCATACACATATCTTTCATTTGTTTCCCAGTTAAATATTATTCTATCTTATGATTAGAACCTTAGGTTCTTTAATCTAGTCTAGTCAAGAGCCCCTTGATTATTAGGATCCTTTACTCCTTCTACCAGTAACTCTGCTGGTATAGTGGTTAAGGCATTTGGCTGCTAACCCAGAGGATGGTTCTAACCCACCAGCTGCTCTGTGGAAGAAAGATGAGGCAATCTGCTTCCATAAAGATTTACAGCCTTGGAAACCCAATGGGGGTTGCTATGAATTAGAAATGACTTGATGGCAGTGAGTTTGGTTTTTTTGGTTATTCCTTCTAGCCCAGTTATTTTCTCTTTCTAATATGGTTCTTACATGATAGTTTATTATTTCTATTTTTTTATTATAGATGTTGATATTCAGCCTGACAGTAACTTAACAAAGGAAATGTGTGAAGAAAAAGATAGTACATCATTTAAACATCAGAGGGACTTTTCCCAGGAAACAGACTTTTCAGAAGCCTGTATTCTAGAGAAACAGGAAGAAGTCCACTCAGTAGGAAGTATGAAGAAAGAAGACAGCAGTATCATTGAGGGAACAGTAAAAAATGAGACAAGCCCCATGGAGAAATGTTTCTTTAGCCAAAGCCCAAATTTCTGTCATTGTCATACTGTCTCCACTGGTGAACAGCCCCCTGAGTGTACAGGATCTGGGAAAGCCTTCAGTGCCAACAGGAAACTTACTCAGCGTGAAGTAGTTGATACCAAGGAAAGACTTCTCAAATGTGAAGAAGTAGTGGAAACCTTTAGGTGTGACTCTCAAAGTAACCAGCCTCAAGATAGTGACACTGGAGAGAAGCCCTATCAGTGTAAAGAATGTGGCAAAGCCTTCAGTATTAATGCAAAATTAACTTGGCATCAAAGACTTCACAGAGGGGATAAACCCTTCAAGTGTGTGGAATGTGGGAAAAGCTTTAGTTACAGTTCCCATTATATAACACATCAGACAATCCACAGTGGGGAAAAGCCCTATCAGTGTAAGGTGTGTGGGAAAGCCTTCAGCGTTAATGGCAGTCTAAGTAGGCATCAGAGAATCCACACTGGAGAGAAGCCATATCAGTGCAAGGAGTGTGGAAATGGCTTCAGCTGTAGTTCTGCATATATTACACATCAGAGAGTCCACACTGGAGAGAAACCTTATGAGTGTAATGACTGTGGGAAAGCTTTCAATGTTAATGCAAAATTAATTCAACACCAGAGAATCCACACTGGAGAGAAGCCCTATGGGTGTACTGAGTGTGGAAAAGGCTTCAGATGCAGCTCCCAGCTTAGGCAGCACCAGAGCATCCACACTGGAGAGAAGCCCTATAAGTGTAAGGAGTGTGACAAAGCCTTCCACAGTAATGCAAAACTCATTCAGCATCAAAGAATCCATACTGGGGAGAAACCCTATGAGTGTGCTGAATGTGGAAAAGCCTTTAGTGTCAAAGGGAAATTAATCCAGCATCAGAGGATCCACACCGGGGAGAAGCCCTATGAGTGTAATGAATGTGGGAAAGCCTTCCGGTGTAACTCCCAACTTCGACAGCATCTGAGAATCCACACCGGGGAGAAGCCCTATGAGTGTAATGAGTGTGGAAAGGCCTTCAGTGTTAATGCAAAACTAATTCAGCATCAGAGAATTCACACTGGGGAGAAACCCTTTGAATGTAATGAGTGTGGGAAATGCTTTACTTCAAAAAGAAACCTGCTCGATCATCACAGAATCCATACTGGAGAAAAGCCGTATCAATGTAAGGAATGTGGGAAAGCTTTCAGTATCAATGCAAAACTGACGAGGCATCAGAGAATACACACTGGAGAGAAGCCTTTCAAATGTATGGAGTGTGGAAAAGCTTTTAGCTGTAGTTCTGACTATATTGTACATCAGAGAATCCACACTGGAGAAAAGCCCTTTCAATGTAAGGAATGTGGAAAAGCTTTCCATGTCAATGCCCATTTAATTCGGCATCAGAGAAGCCACACAGGGGAGAAACTCTTCAGATGTGTGGAGTGTGGCAAAGGCTTCAGCTATAGTTCTGACTGCATTATACATCAGACTGTCCACACTTGGAAGAAACCATATGTGTGTAACACGTGTGGGAGAGCCTTCAGGTTTAGCTTCCAACTTACTCAGCATCAAAATGTTCACAGTGAGGGAAAATCCTAGTAATGAGGAAGGTGTAGAGAACTCTTACGATTAATGCTGATACAGATCAAGTGTCATCAGATCCACCCTTGTGGAAAATCCTGAGGGAAATGAATTGACAGTCTTTACTTGGAAACATCTTTTCTATTTATTCAATTCATAATTGGGGATGGGTGACCAGTTCAAAAGTAACATCCAAAAATGTTTTAAATCAACAACCAGTAGAAAATTACAATGAAGGAAAATAACCTATTCTTAATCAAGAAAATAGATTTTCTAGGATAGGTTTAATAAATATGCAAGATCCATATGGAGAAAATGGTGAATCTCCATTGCCAGTCACCAAAGGGAAAACATGAATAAATGAAGAGAGAGACCTTGTTTTTGTATGGGAAACCCCACATTATAAAGATACTAACTACCTAAATTAATTTATTTCTGTTTAATTTTTTTACAAGCATGCATTACTTTTGTAAAGAGGAAAAACAATAAAATTTTCTTGAAAAAGAATGAGTAAATCTTTTTATTATGCAATAGAAAATTTTCTAAGCATTAGGTAAAAGTTAGAAATCATAAGAGAAAATAATAAATTGATTACCTAAACCTTAAGAGTGTTTTGTTCTAAATAATTCCAAATAAGACTATAAGATAAAGGGCAAAATGTGGAAATTCTTTGTAAAATATGTGATATAAAAGTAATAACTACTATACAACAGAAAGGACTTAGAATAAGAAAAAGATAATTGCTCTAATGAAAGCCAGCAAATGACAGCAATAGCTGCTTTTAAAAAGATGTACAGATGACTGAAGAAGTAAGAATTGATGATCAGTGTCATGCATACTCTAAGGAATGAAACAGGGAAAGTGTCTTAGTTCCTAGTGCTGCTATAACACATAGCACAAGTAGGTGGCTGTAAAGAACAGATTTATTTTCTCACAATTCTAGAGGCTAAAAATTCCAAATTGGGATCTCTGCAGTCTGTCCTTGTCAGTAGCCCCAGGCACTTCTTGGATCCATGGTGTTCCTTGGCTTGTAGGCAGTCCTCCCGTGGCGTCTATCTGTTCCCATGTATATCCTTGTGCCTTTTCTGCTCTTTATAACCCAAAAGTGATTAGAATCTGCTCTACTCCAGTATGACCTAATTAACACCTTACTTCCAATCAGAATCATATTTACAGTTACAGGGGCCTTTATGTATTTTGAGAGGACAATTCAATCCCTAACAGCGTGTGTGAGACACACTGAGGGGAAGAGAACCCATTAGAAGAGAGGGATGGAGACAGATCAGGGAGCTGGCAGCACTGAGGTGGTCCCTGAAGGCCTGGTGGCCACGAAGAGGCATCAAGAATTCACCAGCAGAGGTGGTAAGAGTTATTTTGGTTTGGTTTGGTTTGGTTTTTCCTATCTTAACATGGAAGTGTCTTGAGCTTATTTAAATCAGATGATAAGGTGTGGTGGAAAGAGCAGCTGAAGATGCAAGAAATGGAGGGAGGTGAGAATAGAGGGAGTGGACTGGCCTCAGGTTGGAGGGAAGAAGGGAAGGACAGGAAGATGTAGGAAAATGCTCTTTTCAGCATGTCTTCTGTGTTGAAATCAAGGCACTCTGGTGGTGTAGTGCCTAAGGCATTTGACTGTTAACCAGAAGGCTGGTGGTTCAAATCCACCAGCTTCTGTGGAAGGCAATCTACTTCTGTAAAGATTTACCACCTCAGAAATCCAATGGGGGTCGCTATGAGTTGAAAATGATTTGATGGCAGTGAGTTTAGTTTGGTTTTTCTATGTGAAGTCAAATTGGGGAGGGAGAGAAGGTTTGAAATACAGTTATGGTGAAGGTAGGGGAAGGGGCTAGCGAGGGAAATGTGGAATACTCAGGTGGCAGTGGGGACCCATGTAAGCTTGGAGACTCATTTACTGGGGTGCTGGTCTGCCCATCCCCCTTTTCACCAACTCAGGACTGCAGACAAATGGCAGGAGGTGCTGGGCTTTAGCACCTTCCAGGCCCATGAAATGGCGGTGACGGGGTGGACATGCATGACATGAAGCCTGTGCAATCTTTGCGTAGGAGGAAGTGAAGACGGATGGGAGCCTGGGCAACTAGTGGGGTATCCCTACAGATGTGCCTTTATCCAGATGTGGATCTTTCCAGAGGAATTCAGTCTACACACATCCAGAAAGACATACAGCCCTATACACACATACACCAATGCACACACATACAAAGTCAAACACCGTCCTCCTGACCCCCCGTCCCACAGACACAAACAGGACACACGCAGTCCTACACACAGTGTGCTCCCTAGGACTATGCAGAAACACCTGCCCATTTCTGTTTCTCTAGCTCTGGTGGTCAGTCACTGCTGGCCAGAGTGCTGCTTTGAGTACTTCAAAGGCACCATTCCTGTCAGAAAGCTGACCTCGGTTCTGTACCTCAGCGGAGTGTCCCAGGAGCCCAGCACAGTGGAGGCAGTCCCAGGATCACCCAGAAAAACACTGGGGAAGGGTTGAGGGGAGAGCTGGCCTCCCCTGCCCACCCAGCTCTTTTCCTCTGGGTGGTTCACTCACCACACACTGAGACCCCAAGTGCCCCAGGCCATGGGGCCCTTCATTAGCTGAGTGAAACAGGCCCAGAGGACACCATCTGGTCACACAGCAATCAATGCCCAATGTGGTTTCTGTCTGGCCAGGGGAGAGGTCAGAGGCCAGCCCCCCCCCCCAGGCTCCTGCCCAGCCCCCAGAGGGTGTGGAGGCAGGGCAGGAAGTCCCTCCACTATGGAGGACTGAGACAGGGACCACAGGAGGGTTGAGTGTTGCAGAGAACAGAACCTGAGGTCCTAGATCTGCCACCAACGCCCTGTATGCCCTGCCACTTAGGGTCTCAGGTTCTGGTCAGTGCTGGCTAGGACTGGCCCAGGTTTCTGGAAGGCCATCTCTGCCCTGACAGTCCCTGACCATCCCCTCCACGCAGGTTTGTCCAAGGCCCTGCCACCTGTACAAATCCCAAGAAAAGGAGGGTGAAGAAGGCAGGTAGGTACTAGAGACCCTCGTGAAGTCACGCAGCTCCATCCACCCAAGATTCCTGACTTCCTCTGTGGTCCTTCTGGAGACTTCCAGCCTCCATGTTCACTACCCCACCACTATCTGCATGGGGTTCAGTGGAGGCCTTAGGAGGACAAAGCCCAACCCTCTGTAGTTCCTGGCCCCTCTGGGGTCTGAGCCTCCCCCCTGCTCCAGCTTTATCCCTCTCTCTGTGCCCACCAAACGGCCCCAGGGTGCAGTGGTTAACGCGCTCAGCTGCTAACCTTAAAGATCAGCAGTTCAAACCCACCAGCTGCTCCTCAGGAGAAAGATGAGGCAGTCTGCTTCCCTAAAGGTTTGCAGCCTTGGAAGCTCTATGGGGCAGTTCTTCTCTCTCCTACTGGGTTGCTATGAGTCGGACTCTAATGAAAGCAACGGGTTTGTGTTTGAGCCCCACCCCCCACCAAAGTGGCTCCAGAGGAAAGTTTCCCACAAAAAACTCAGATCAGGTAGTTACTCAATGGATACTACTCACCATCAGGCGGGTGAAGAGCCCACCTGCAGAAAAAGGACCCCTGGGCAGCCTTATTATTGTTATTACTGTTGTTTTATTTCTGCTTCCAGAGGAAACAACATATTGCATTAGGCAAATCTGTTCCAGAAGACCTCTTCAAAGTGTTAAAAAGAAAAGATGTCACTTTGAGGACTAAGGTTTACCTGTCCCAAGCCATGGTGTTTTCAATTGTCTCATATGCATGTGAAAGCTGGACGATGAATAAGGAAGATCAAAGAATTGATGCCTTTGAATGATGGTGTTAGCGAAGAATATCGAAGATACCATAGGCTGCCAGAAGAATGAACACATCTGTCTTTGAAGAAATACAGCCAGGATGCTCCTTTGATGTGAGGATGGGAAGATTTCATCTCACCTACTTTGGACATGTTGAGAGATCAGTCCCTGGAGAAAGACATCATGCTTGGTAGAGGGCCAGAGGAAAAGAAGAAGACCCTCAATGAGATGGATTGACTCAGTGGCTGCAATGACGGATGGGCTCAAGCAGTGATTGTGCAGATGGCACGGGACCAGGCAGTGTTTCGTTCTGCCGTAGTCGGAAACGAGTCAACAGCACTGAACAGCATTGAAAAGTGAGTTTGGGCTGTCATCCGCCCTGCAATGAACTAACTGGCCACAAGGCAGCAGTAGGAGGCAAAAGCTTTCAGAAAATAACTCTTGCTTTGCCCTGCCAACAGGGCGGAAACACAGGGGCCAGCATCCCTACTCATTTTTATACAGAGGCCAAAACTGAGTCCCAGAGAGAAAAGCCACGTGCCTGAGGCTGGCTGGAGAGTGAGGCAGATGCAGAATGCAAAGAGTCTGATGCTTCTCCAGGGGACACTGTGCCTTCAGCCCTGAGCAGAGATGGTGGCAGAGGGGTCTGCTGTCCCCAGAACCTGCTGGCCCCACTCCTGTCAGCACATGGGCTGTGGGCTCCTGGGTGGCTCCCAATATAATGAAGCAGTCAGGACTGACAGACATAGGAATTAATGGCAGAGAGGCCCTATCATGGCAGCTGCCCTGTCCATAAGAAGAGAGAGAAGGGGAGAGAACCAGGTGGGCAGTGGTTAGGGAGGGTTTCCTGGAAGATGGGCTGGGGCTGAGGGTGGATGGGATTACAATGGCTGGTAGGGGGTGGAGACCACGCTGCAGGGGCAATGGGATTCCTTGGAGACCAGCATGTCTAGGGCACAAGGTGAGGGCTGGGGACCAGCTACCATGTTTTCCTGAGGAGGCTGTTAAGGAATTGTGAGTTGGACACTCCCCATGACTGTGGAGAGAAGGGAGGGAGAAGAGAGGAAGTGGCAGGGACCAGTGAGGAGGGGCCTGGCCAAGTCTTGTTCCTTCCACCTAAGCTCCACACTGAGCTCAGCTCAAACGCCATCCTCCTCTGTTGTTCTTGCTAGTCTCCTTGGTCTGCACTGGTCCCGGCTCTGCCTCCACCAGCTT